GAGTCGGCGGCCTCCAAAATTTCAACAATTCTAAGAATAATATTATGATATCGAAATGTAATTTTTTGACATCATGTAGATAAATAAGTTTTAGCCTTAAATTTTGTCTTGATTTATATAAAAATTAATCGTGATAGTAATATAATAGAATAAAGAAACTTCATACATATTGCGTTTTCATTTGATACTATAGTTGAATTGAAGTTAACAAAATTCTCAAATTAAGGTGTTATTCAAGTTCCGTTGTGTCATGTTCAGCATATTATTTCTGGTTTGTGCCATTTTCCAATATCCAATGAACTAGAAATCTTGGAATTATGAGCCCTTTTTATTCAAGTCAAACCATCACACATAGATCACTATAAACCAAAAATCTATTTGATCTAAATCCAAGCAAAAAAAATAAAAAAATAATAATAATACATTAATATATCAAGAAATGAAAAAAAAAAAAGAAAGAGCTAAGACATGCTATTCTTACATGCAATAATAGATAAATAGGTTTTTCACATCAAGATCGTTACGATTCATAATTTACATTACCATACTAAGTAGCCATTGGTTAATAAAGTTGATTGCCAAACTTATGTTGCATAAGATAAGATGGCCATTTCATCCACCTTTTCTCCCATAATACCTAGTATAACAAGGTACTACAGCTGATCATTGCATAAGCTTCTCATGCGACGTGTCATGCTGTCAGCAACAATTAGTGACACGTGTCAATGGTTGTACAGCTCATAGTCAGGTCATAGGACCGATGTCAATGGTTGTATAGCTAGCTCAAAAGTTCTTATTGCCCATACCCACTTTATACTGTCTTTGGACAGATCATGTCGTTATATGATCATGATCATGATCATGAGAGAGAGAGAGAGAGAGGTATGCAAACGATAGAAGCAATAGAAGTGCAACAAAGTCTTTGGCTTCATTGTGGCATAGAAACTTACTATCCATGTATAATCTTTCTTGAAACAGATCACGGCCTTTTTGGTAATAAGAACAAGTGAGTCATAACCATTACACCATGTCAGCATTGCCGACACGATATAACGATTCAATAAGAAAAGAGAAAAAAAGATAAAATAGAACTCATTTCTTATCATGGAAGTGTTTATGAATGACATAATTGGGTGGTTATGAATTTTAGTGGGGTACATTTGTTAATTTGTTTACATATTAGTGGACAGTTATACCATATGACAATGTTGACGTAATGTAACAGCTGCACCCAATTTGTTTCCAAAAGCAGACACTTTTAAAAGTATTTTATTAATGTTAGTATAAAAAACGTTTATGGTTTACAGTTTAATGTTAGTTTGTTTTGATGTTTTATTGGAAGTTTAAGACCAACTTGCCGAGTAAATATTGTTTATAACGGTGATACTATATCATTATTGACACGTGGTATTATAATTTAATAACATTCCTACAAGTAGATAAATTGAACCTCACTTCTTTATATATGATGGTTATTTTCGTACATGTGTATGAGAGTTATTAAATTAAATGAGATCTATTTATTTACATATCGATTTATTATTGTTTGATTATATTCAATATCTAGATTTTGGATTTTCTATCTTGGAGCAAAATGATAGCACCAAGGTTCTGAAAACGACCCATTGTGATAATGGGGTTGACTATAATCCATCCCAAAAACTTGAGAGTGATCTTAGTTTTTCAAAATTCATTGAATCGTAACTTGATTCATCATGACTGTAGATTAGGCATCTAATGTATCATGTGGTTATGTCAACCAAGCAAATAAGGGATAAATACCTATTTGCGTGAGTTACTAGCCATTTGTCACCCTTGAATTTGATCATATGCAATGAATTTAACATTGTGCTGACTTTTTACCACCCCCGTGGGGAAATAAAAACACATGGCATGATGCAAGCACATGTAGGTCATGGTTTAAAAGTACTGGCCGGCCGAAACGACTCTATCGAGTTGTATTAGATTTGACACCTTCCACCTTCCACCTTCCACCTTCCATGCTAATAACTAAAAATAATTCACACATTTTATTTAATACACTCTTCTCAGTAAATTAAAACATAATTAAATGCAATTGGTAAATTGTCCTAAACCAAATGAGTGATTTCAGCCTTTTTCAAATAACCAATTTCTTAACAAGATAGGTGATGATCTCAAAAAAGTTTTGAAACAAAATGAAGGATGATTGTTCACGAAATCTTTGATATACATTGAAAAACATTATCGAAATATTTGATATAAAATTAATTATAAATGATTTTTAGAATTTAAAAGAACATCATGTTTCACTTTATATATGATCGAAACTGTTACTATTTTTCATATATTATTTTAGTCTTAAATCTTAATATATTTTTCATGCTTAAACTTGGGTGGTGTATTTTTATTCATGTTTTTAAAAAATTGGGAACAAAAAGTCAGAATTTATAACATGTTTTCGTTAGTTTTGATATAGTTTTGAAAAAAAATTAAAAACATGATATTCAAATTATGCACTTAAAGACATCATTTTTTTAAAAAAAATCCTTTCTTCTCATCTGTGTCTTTCAGTCCGCTTCCAAGCAAAGCCCAATCGGTTCCTTCAAACCCTTTTTTTTTATATTTTACTTTTTTAGGGGAGAGAGGAGGGGAGAAAGGAGTTTGAATCCTTGACTTCAAGGAAACAAAAACCTTCATAAAATAAGGAGTACTATTGGATCAAAGACCTATTGGTCCTTCAAACCCTCTAGTATCGTTCAAAGCTCTAGTTCTTCAAATGGCACGAGCCGATGAGAAGGGGCTTGATCGGTTTTCTAACAAACTACTAAAGAATATTTTTTTCCACGTATTTTGTATTTTCTCGTAAATTGATTTTACATATTTTCTTGAGGTTGACCTTATCCTCAGATCTGACTCTATGCAAATTAGAAATTTGGGATTCATGTTGTTGGTTTTGCTTTGCCATTTTTCACAGTGAGGAAAATGATGACATCTTTATTGCATGTTGAATTTTTTAAGTTAGTTTTTAGCTTGCTGAGTTTGTCCCATTGACATTCTCCTTTATCCTTGGGTTTTTTTTTGGTTGGAAAACTTCATTTAATTTCTAGTATAAAGTAATGCACTACTGAGAGTTCAGTGATTAAATCTTGTTTGTCCACATGTGTTGAGAAAAAAAACCATGGTAACATACCCCACCGCCCGACTTCACCCTCATGCGCTTTTTCAGAAGATTTTTATCAAAGGGTCGAGTCAAATTACATCTCATATTTTTATTATTTTTTGAATCACTATCGAAAAATGTTTTACTATTTTTTATTTTTTAAAACTATTTTTGGAATCACATAAGAAAACATGTTTTGAGATACAAAAATATTAAAATACAATTTTCTAAAACTCTTCTCAAAAACATGTTTTTGAATATTATTTTTTAAGAAGATATCCAAACAAACTCTTAATTTTTGCTTTGTAAGAATATTCCTTCTGAGCAAGGTCGGTTGAAATCATGAGGAGCTTTCTTAAGGGGTCGTTGTTTGTTGTATTATAGGGTGTATTAAGGGTTTATATACTGCATTTAAATGTAAAAAATTATTCGTATTATATATGAGATTAACTAAATAAGTATCTTATATGGATAATTCTAATACAGTCTATCCGTATTATTGTGTTATTTTAATACTACTAGGAGAGATGATATTATAATACAACCTAGGTGTATTATATTGTTATTTTATAATTTTATCCCCAATTTAAAAAAAATTTATGTGTTCTTTTCTTCTTATTTATTTTAATAAAAATTACATAGACGACAACATTAATAATAAAGAAATGATCAATAAAGCTACATATATCTAATTTTTCGATCAATAAAGTTATCATTACCTCTCTCCTCTCACTCTTCTTAGTGTAAAAATTCGTTGCCTATATATATTAAAAAAATAAACATGCTAGTCAATTGATTGATTTATTTATTTTTTTAATGCTAGAACTTTGATTTTCTTCCATTCCCGCATAAAAACAAATCTTCCATTCAATCAAAAAGCTGATTTTGTGGAGTTTGTAACGGAAACTCTCTCTCCCACTTACTTGAATTGCTAAAATTGTTTTTCCCTTTTCTTCATGCTTGATGGGTCGGTCATTCATGTTCCGGAGATTTCTCCATTGATTGGTATAATACTCATTTGATTACTCTTTCGTTATTAATATCCTTATTACATTCTTTATGTAGATCAAATGACAAAGCAAACACTGTCTAGAGCATATTTATTACCAGATGATGATTTCATGCATGCCTGTATATATAGAAAAAAAAAAAATTTTCAAAGAGTTATTCAAATCACGTAGCAGTGAAAAGTGGTGTCCACATTCAATGAAAACTTACCACACATTCTGATAAAGTAATAGATGACAGTTTTTCTATTGAAAATTTATAATATTCTGCAAGTGATGAACACCACATGACCGCAAATCCATGGAGTAGTTCAGTGGTAATACCGGAAATTTCGAATCTTGTCAATTCTTTTGGGTTAGACCATTAGAGATTTATCCTTTATGAATATGTTAGTCCCACGTAAATGACTTGTTTTTGACAAAATCAAAGAGGGGACTAAAAAAAAAAGATCAAGAAAGGGACTAGTTGAGCTCTGTGCAAGTTTACCTAGACACCACCAATCATTAAACCACAAAAAAGAACCCCATGTCATGTGATGTGTTATATGGGCTGAAAAATTTTGTCGTGTATATGCACATATATTCATTTTCGTTATTGGAATTCAGCATTGAGCAAAAAGTCTGCACACACCTAAGATATCCTTTCGTTTAAGTTTCTCGCATCGCACTCTATGCCCAAGAGTCGTAAAAAACAGCACCCAACATCCTCTCTCTCTCTCCCCTCCCCTATAAATATACAAGTTCGTCATATAACTTTGCAATCAGTGCCATAGCTCTTAGATTCTTATAATCCTACAAACCCTCCATACTTTTGGAATACTCTTTTCTCTCTCCTACAAAAGAAGCAAATAATGGCCATACAAAGGCATATCTTCCAAATCAACATCATCTTCATCCTCTCTTTTATTTCATCCTACGCCAGCCTTCATGATGGCCCACCTTATAATAAATACCTTCAACAAGAATCTGGCTATGACTTTGAAGCTTACCCTTCATATTACAGCACCATTGAAGACACCAAGTTTAAGAACTCGGCCAAGCTCCAAACTAGAATCTATGGTTTCAAGACGTTTCAGAGACTCGCAGCTTCCGCTAACACAATCAATGTAGATGATTTTGGAGCCAAAGGTGATGGTACTCATGATGACACACAGGTAATCACTTGGTTCAAAAAATGATCTCAATGGGCAGGTGCCCTAGTGTAAATCAATGCACTTACATGGAGGTCCTTTTAGGTTAATTCCAATGTTTATTACTCAATTGTTTCGGCAATTATGTAGTTTATGACTAGCGGTTGTCTCGTGCAATTCATAGAATTTATACCTTTTTCCACCGCGAGTCTCACCCCACCCCTCCCCTACCCTCACATTTTTTAACAATTAGTCACTAATGTGCTAAATTAATTTTAAAAAAAATAAATGTGAGAGAGCAGTTACCAAATATAATGAGAATGGTTACATAGGACACATGTAAGAATTTAATTGGAGAGATCAACACATTTTTATTAAATAATTTAAAATTAAGAGGAATAAATCTTTAGCAAGGGAATGCTTTTGAAGCCCTCGCATCTTAAAAAATGATTGTTTTATATAAATAAAAATTGTATTGTTTCAGGCATTTCAGAAGGCTTGGCAAAAAGCTTGTTCATCAACAGGAGCTGCATTTGTGGTGCCGCAGAAAAAGAACTATCTTCTTAAGCCAATTAGATTCTCTGGCCCTTGCAAATCTAAGCTTACTATGCAGGTCAGATCAGTTGCATATATAAATGACTCCAACAAAGAAGGCAATCTTCAAAGAATTATTTCTTACACTAAAGTTTTTTTTTTTTGAAAAAAATCAGATTTATGGAACCATTAAAGCATCTAGTGATCGATCAGACTACAACACACAAGGCAATCACTGGCTTATATTTGATAGTGTCCAGAATCTAATAGTTCAAGGAGGTGGAATTATCAATGGCAATGGGAAGATATGGTGGCAAAATTCCTGCAAAATCAATAAAGCTCTTGTAAGTCATTATTGAATCCAAAAAATTATTTCAACACTCTCTCTTTCTTTCTTTCTTTTATGGTGAAGCGACAAGGTGATTCTATTATAACCTAGCTACTTGGGATTTGAGTCATGAGAAGAACTTTATAATGTGGCTGACTAAAACTCAACACTTTCCAGGATCATAATGGCAAGAGTCTCGTGTATTAAGCTATTGTTTTTTATTTTTTTAATAAACAATGACTAATTAATTTATTTTGCTTCATTGGTATGCAGCCATGCAAGGATGCACCAACGGTATGTTTGTTTCTTTATATTAGTGGATGATGCTATGTTGATATTCATATAATGTATGACCAATGGAGTTTCTTTTTTTTTTTTTCCCTCTAAATTTCAACCCTTTTTTTGTGATAGGCTTTAACCTTCTATAATGGCAACAATTTGATTGTGAAGAACCTAAAGATCCAAGATGCACAACAAATTCATGTTTCTTTTGAGAAATGTGTGAATGTCCAAGCTTCCAATCTAGAGGTGATCGCACCTGAGATGAGCCCCAACACTGATGGAATTCATGTCACAGACACCCAAAATATCCAGATTTCTAACTGTGTTATAGGAACAGGTATATCTCTTTAAAACATGGAAAAACGCACACAAAAGAATAAAAACTAAAACGACATAAAACACATATGTTATAGAGTATTATCGCATCTTGCCTTCTTTGATACTTTGTTAAACAACGCTAACGCAAAATATTTGTTGATCCTAACAATAAAATTTCATTTATATGTTGAAGGGGATGATTGTATTTCAATTGTGGGTGGATCCCAAAAAGTGCAGGCTACGGGTATAACTTGCGGACCAGGTCATGGAATCAGGTTCCGAATTAAAAAATCTCTAACAATAAACACATTCCAATTTCAGTGAAATTTTGTTTGCATTGTGCATTGAAATATTTTGTTGTTCTTTTGCATTTTGATGATGAGCTCAGTATCGGAAGCTTAGGATCCGGAAATTCAAAAGAGTCTGTTTCTGATGTAACGGTGAACGGAGCTACGCTTTATGGAACAACAAACGGAGTAAGGATCAAGACATGGCCGGTAAGAGAGAATCTTGTACAATGATGCATGCGCATGCACAAATGCGGACAAACATATATGTACATACACACACGTAATGCTAGACTGAAAAAAAATGAGACAAAAAAATGGGGATGAAATGATGTGGTGTGACAAATTGTGGTGTGAAAGTATTCCCTCATTAATTTATTTTTCTTACTTTTGTTTTATTAAATTAAAAAACAAAATTTTCTTCAAATTAAATTCTTCCACTTTGCACGTATAATCACTCCCCCAAACTCCCCACTCATTTTTCAAATTTCTCTCCTCTTCTATATTATCTTTCCATCTTGCTCTCCTCTTTTCTAAATTTATCAGGCAAGTTTAATAAGGAGACAGAGAGAGATTGAGAGAGAGAGAATGGAGATGCTAGAACAGGGTGATAGATGTAAATCCCGTGCATGCATATTTTTTTTTCATTATATTAATCATATGTACATCCGATCTTACATGCAGGGTGGGTCTGGAAGTGCAAGCAACATAAAATTTCAGAACATTAACATGCACGATGTTATGAACCCCATAATCATAGACCAAAACTATTGTGATCAAGCCAAATCTTGTACACAAAAGGTAAAGTTGTAAAAGCATAACCTTTGAAATCTCCAAAAAATTATAAACCCAATATTTTATTGATAAAATTATATCTTCTTACTCTGTCACAGAGCTCAGCTGTTCAAGTGAAAAATGTGGTTTACCAGAACATTAAAGGAACAAGTGCTTCTGATGTGGCTATGACATTTGACTGCAGTAAGAGCTTTCCTTGTCAAGGGATTGCGGTGCAGAACATCAACATAGCAAAAGCTGGAGGTGGAGCAGCAAAAGCTCTATGCAACAATGTCAATTTGCAGAAAATAGGAACTATTTTGCCACATTGCCCTTGAGGAGGAAGAGAATACAACTATAAGGTTGGTTAGACCATCTAGTTCATCATATTATTGTTGATCTCCAGTGTTTAATCTAGACTGAAATATGTTTTTTCGAGAATAACAAATTATACCAATCATTTACCTTTTAGACTCATGGCTGCAATGTTAATTTTGGATGCATGCAACTACCAATTAAATCCGAGTTTTATGTAAACTATAAAATTCAAACTCAAATTGTACGAGTTTATCTGTGGCTCGCTTGACCAATGAACGTACCCAAACAATCATATTGACAATCAAAAATTATTTATTTTGGCACAATCAATTGTAATTTCCTGGCTATTACAATTTGCAAATATGCAAATATATTCAGAATGATGTTTATATATGATTAATCAAGTTCTTTCTTTCTACGTTTTTGTTTCAGGTTTCTTCAAAATATTGCAGCCGCATGCATGATTCAGTGGGTTTTTCATGGATTATTTCAAGTGGATGGAAAGATTGTTGTATAAATTACTGAAAATATTTGAATGAGTTGTTATTTATTAATTAGAGAACAATAAAGATTGTCTGTAAAATGTTTTCTCATGAATAAAATTACATCCATTATGGTACAATTGCGTTTGATTTTTTTTTTCTTAAATGTTTTGTTTGGAGGGGGCAAAAGCAAAAAAGTCACTTTAGTTGGGTATTCAGATAGTAAAAAATAAATTAAAAAAATAATAATTTGTGTCCATATTTCAATTGTGTATTGTTTGATAATGGTCTTTAAGTAATTTTACAAGATAAAATTAAAAAAATTAAAAAAAAACATAAAAGTGTTATCAATAATACCTCACTTTTTCAAGATATACCAATGCATACTGATACTTTCGAGAATTTATAGACCTAATAACGTGATGGTTGACGTGTTCCAATAATATTATTGTAACTGCATTGTTGGATTTATCTGTTAGAATAATATCACTTGCCTTATTATTGCATCAAATATTTAGAACGAAAAGTATCGTTGAAAAAACCAATATGTAGGATTTGGGCCTTCTTTTGGCCCATCTCATCCTAAAAATTAATTCATCATCAATAAGTGGAAAAAATATTCATTGTAACGGTGATATTATGTCATTATTTTCATTTGATATTATCAACTAATAATATGCAAACTAATAAAATTGGACCCGCCACTAGCCAATAATTATCAGTTCATGTAAGCATATAACTGCCCACTTTTCCATTAAGTAGATAACTATCTACTATTCTTCCATGTAAGTTAATAACTATCCAAGTGTTGTTCACATGGTATCACTGTTGAATAGATGGTAAGTAAGAGATTACTTATATACAATGTGTCTCACTTGAATAGATGACAAGCGAATCACCAAAAAAGAAAATTGACAAAAAACATTTGAGGGAATCTCATTCCTGAGAAAAACAACTACAGATGATATTTTTAATTATCATACTTAAAAAAAAAATTATTATTGACTGTCAAGTTATACCTTACAAAGTACAAGTGAAACTTATTTGTGATAGATTACAATATGTTATGATCGATCACGAATAACCTTAATCAATCGTAACTTAACCTTCAAAAGATGAATTTTTCGTGATCAATCACCATACTTTAATATAGATGATAATTTTTTGAGTTGAAATTCAGGCCGTCAAAAAATATAATTTAACCTTTAAATATTATAATTTCCGACATGGTACCAAAGTGGATAGCTTAATAGCTTTAAGGTAGACCCACAAATCTCAACTCTTAATTCCAGAAAGTTCATTACAACTATTAATTATTAGACATGGGCCAAGTTTTGGCCACATGAAGGTGTGTCAAATTAATATCCCGTGACATTTGTAACATCTAGTAAAAAGACCCCTTCGCCTAACGAACTTTAGAGGTTCCAACAAAAAAATTACGACTAATCAACCACCAAAAATTCTATTTGGAAAAATATCACTTAACTGGAAGACAATGATCTGAAAGATAATATTGTGCCCAAAATTAGTGAATTAAAGCGATAAGTAAGTGCTAGTGAATTAAGGTAAGTTTAAGAGCTCACAATAATTGTAACGATGGATAAATAAACTTAGGAGAAAGAATGTCGACAACTTGAGTGGAGTGATAACGGTTTGCATATAAGATCTATTTCGGGACAAGTTGGGGACAGAGATAAAAATCTTGAATATGGAAAATTATATTCTACTTTTGGATTTGATGCTTGGAGGATGAATAGGTGTTGAGACCTCATCATCAATTGGAATTAGGCAGGCTTGATCACATAAGTTTTGAGAATGAAACATTCTTTTAGGAGGGTGGATTGTAAAACCCTGTATCAACTGTAAATATGGGTAGTATGATTTTAAGAGTGGTTCTCAAAATAATTACAACGATGACAGATTCTTAAAATCGTTGTTGAAAGAATAGCCGTGAAGTTCGACTTTCGAGTCAAATTTAGTTTTAGAGATGTTTAATTTTGAGAAGGATATCTAAGTAAGTTACTAAAACCTTTGAATTTGAAAGATAGAGAAACCTTGAGATAGGCGTTCAACCCTTGTAAAGGTCCGGATGGGTGAGATGACAATTTTAGTGTTTCAGATATTTTACCATTTAAGAAACCAAGAATGGTTGTTGATTGAGGTATTGAAGATTCAAAATTGATCTAAAGTGTTTCAAGATCATTTAATATGACACTGGAAGTTGAAAAAAATAAGTTAAGATGTGTTACGTGAATTAAGATGTTTTGGAAAAAAAATAGTGTAGAAAGGAATTTGACACTACGTTCAATTGCGTTGATTCTTGGGGCATTGAAAATAAGACTTCAAACACTACATAAGTGTGTTTCATGAGAATTTCATGAATTGACCTCTAATTAGACCAAAGTTTTGGTAGAAAGTTGGGTCCTTCTGAATGAAAATCTTCCATCCGAATAGAAAATAAAAAGGTGAGATACTGAGAGCAGGAGCCATTCAAATGGAGATTTTCCGTCTGAATGTAAACATGACTTTTCAACTCTAAGGAGCTTATGAGAGTCTTTGAAAGAAGAAAAGGAGGAAAAATAGTAGATCGAATTAGATCTTGACGAGATTTACACATTAGCATTACACAAAACACTTTAGGAGCAATTTTCTATGAAATCAAGGTAGTGTTTCTTTTCCCTTTCCTATTTATTGAGGCTATGGATAATATCTATATACTATTTGAATTCTAATTCGCACACACACGCACATAAAATAGATCTGCAACTATTTTGAATTTCTTTCAATTATATCATTCATTTTCTTCGAATTATGTTGTTGATTTATAAACGCTAGATCTTGAATACTATTACATTGATAATGCTTCGTGAAGATCTTGTGCATGGTTTTATTGAAATTTCCTACATTTGGAGAGTTGGGGAATTATAATTTGTGATTCACGTGGATTTTATTGAAAAACATAATTTAAATTACTTATATGGGTGGGTGTGATGAACATGAATATAATCGAACTTATATCACAGAGTATCGAACTTATACACGTGGATTTTAATGAGTTTGAAGGTTTTTCTATCACTTATAGTGGGTATTGGTTCCTTGCTAAGTTTCAAACTATTTTTCATCGACGGAGACCGAGGCTTAGGGTTAGTAAACTATTCATAAAAATATTTCGTTAAATATTGATGCATCGATATACGTGCTTTCTGTAAAGGTTTATCCCTGCGGGGATTGGTTGGAGGATTTTTGTATGTCGGGGCTAGATATATTCGAGGTGTGAATTCTTGCTAATCAAGCTACGTACATAAAATATTTATGTTATAAGTTGTTGTTTTCCAAATGGTTCTACGCTGTTACGGATTTACATGTTTATGCAATGTAAATTTGAGATAGCTATAATGTCACATTTTTTTGGGGTAAGTATAATGTCACTTATTTTACTTCAATAGTTATATATGTTATTTTTAAATTGAGATATACTTGTTTTATTTGTTTATAAATATTGTTTAGGTTAGAGAAAGTTTCTCTATTGAGCTAGGTTGTTCACCCCTTCTTTTAATATTTTTTAGATTTTGCTCTTGAGATTGATACTAGCATAGGTGAGCAGGTAGATTGGATTGTTGAAAAGGATCAGAAAGTGGATCCGAAAATTGAGGTCTAGTGTTGGGGGCTTTGATTTATATAAATTTTGTTTTTATGATTGGAGAAGGGATACCGATTATTTGCATTTATTTAGTTAATTATGAGATTTTGTTCTTTATTTGAGGTTTTGGATGCAAACCTGAGATTCAATTTTATCATTTGAGGACTTCTAGCCAGATGATATTGGATATTTGTGATTTTTGATTTATTAGGTGGTTTATTTAGTTATACTCTAATGATCTTAAAGGTTTAGATCACATTTATTTATGAATTTGGGGCGTGACAATATGTGTGTGTGATGGTGTATTTCAACGTGATGCAATTTTGTGATGACGAGTAAATGAAAGAAACAATATTAGAATTATTGGGATCTGAGCTACTAGACTCGAGGAAATGATACTGAGAATTGTTGGGGAGTTGAGGAATTAACACAGTGAAATTATAGTAGTTCACTAGCTCGGGAGCTCGGCTAATTCACTATTCAATGGAGATTCTTGCTCCTTCCTTCACTATTTACTATACCAAAAAGTTTACAGAATATAAGATGTGATACTAGGGTTCTGCCTCTCTGTTGGGGGCGTTACATAGTATTTATAGGACTTTTCCTAATTCTACGGGATCCGCCCCGAGATCTTCGTCATTTATCCGAGGAATCCTCCTTGATCTTAGAAGGAGATCTTTCCTGAATGAAAGTTTTATGCTTCGATTATGACTCTTTGCTGCCTCTAGGGTTTCTGTTGACAAATAACTATCTCTTTATTACTTCCGCTGTTGCTTCGATTGGGCTGGCTTTACTTTGGTTTTATGAGCTCTGTGCGTCTGACTTCCGCTCCTAAGCTCATACTTGGGAATTGCTCTAAGTATCATCAGTTGCCCCCCCAACTCTTGGTCAAGCTGAC